ATGTAGTTGACAAGATTTCTAGCTGCTCTTGCACCCTAAATAGTGTGCACGTCTGATTTGGGCCATGATGATTGCTTTAGATCTGTTCCATTACTGAGGGGAGGCAGGTAGCCTTAGCCTAATTAAGAAGTTAGTACTAATTCTGGGGTTTTTTTAGGGCTGGCAGCTGACATGGCCCTTCTACAGATACCGCCTAGAGCAATAGTTGGAAGCCTGCTATATTGGTTTTTTTGCCTCTCGCTGTTGAGAGTGGGCACTTTTTTCAGTCTTTAGTCTGAAAAGATGTAGCCTGAAAACGATCATCAGTATTCCAGAGTGGAAACTCTCTTTTTTTAATCCCTGTGAAAAATTACATCACTTGCTGTGGAAAGTACTAGTAAAAACTAAGTTATGTGATGTGTATGTGTAAGGAAAATAGTCTTAATTTTAAATTTTTCAGTTTGGAATTAAGAGAGATTTGATCCTCTTAAGAAAGGAGGAGCCAGATAATTAAGTATGGTTGCAAGTTCATGAGGGCACATCTGCTCGTTAGCCATTAGGAAACAAAACATTTTAATATAATTCCTTATTTTCTATGAAGATCAGAGACTGAGACTGACACGAGTTGTGCAAGCAACTCTTACAGAGGCTTTTCACTCACCACAGTGTTGTTACACTTCATCACTGACAGGCAAAATTATTTATCTGGTGAGTTCATCTTGTCAAGTAACCAAAGTATGGAGTGAATTGAGCCCACCGAACAGCTAAATTGCCTTTCCTCCAAAATGTCAGAAATGACCTAATGATGAGACAGGTTTTCAGTAAATAAGCTTTCTGTAACCTCCTTTAATTCTCATTCTATTTGGAGAAGTTCATCTACATTAAAGTCAGAGGACCACCTGGGCCATCCCGTCCCTGCAAGCTTTAAAATTTTACATGGATTTACTGCATGGCAGCACAATATGTTACTGTCATTCCAAGTATTGCAATAATGTTTTGTTCTTAATTGACAACTTGAAGCTTTGCATCTATCAGGTATAGAATTCTTGTGGTGACTTTCTAATAGAGGGCCGTGTCATCCTGATCTTAATACCTTGTTTAATAGTGAATAGAGGGGATTTTTTCTACATTTTAGTTAGACTAGCATATCTTAAGAGTGGCATCTCAAACATTTCGTGTTTGGCCCTACTGATTACTTTTGAGAAATCTGGTTTTCTGGCTTTGTCCTGCATGCCATCATATAATTTATTTTGTATTTGCTTGAGCAAAAGTGAAGCATACCTTAATGAATGTAGAAGTGAGAATGCATTACCTGTTTCATTGTCAGTCTTCTAATAATGTTTGGTTTCTAGCCATTCCTAAAATGTACTTTAAGCAGATAAACAGTTTTTGGCAATACCTGTATTAGTGTAAAATAGTTTCGTATAAAAAAAACCTTTGGAAATGCATTGGTTTAATTTTTAAGGGGGATATGTAAGGCCATCAGGTTTTACTGTCTCTGGTCCATGGTAGCAGATCTTGCACTTCTGCAGAGTGCTCATGATTTCAGTAAGGCTCTGCTTGTATTGTAAGAGTCCAGCCACGTGGATCAAATCGCCAGAGCGGAGCCTTACTGCCCCTTAAGAAGATCTGTTTCTTGCGGGATGCTAGTACTGTAACAAAGAAAAAGTGGTTTTGCCTGTAGAAAAGACAGTAGATGTTAATCTTGACTGAATTTGTGCCTACTAAGACTGTGGACAACTCTTGCCTTTTCGCTATTGTGCTGTCTTTTATTTTGAATTTGAAAAGTTCTGGAGTAAAATTGTGGCTTTAGTGGGAGTTCCACGGGTCAGCTGGTATCGGCCATAGGAGCTGCATCCCTCAAAGCATATAACTGACTGACTGTTCATTGATCTTCGCGCTTCGATGTTGTAACTATTAGGCCTGATCCAGGAAAGCACTTACATGTCTATGTAACTGTATGCACGTGAATAGTTTTGCTGGTTCCGATGGGAATACAGACATGCATCTGTGCTGAAGTGCTTTGCTGGATCAGGTCCTACGCCTCTGCTGGAAGCTTCCTAGGGATATGACGGCATTGTCAACCTAGCTATTATGACAAGAAGAGTCTAAATTTTACTTTTTAATTGAAGGTTCCCGAGAGAAGGTTATGCTTGGAAAATTCCTGTATCAACCTATCCATGTAGTTGTCTATTTTTAAAAGATATAATGAAAGGAGATGTGGACAGTGAGAAATATTTGCTCTCAGCTTTTCTAAAAATGTAACTTTTGAAATATGTTTTGCCATTTAGTGTCATGAAAAGAAAATTCTGTGAAACATTGTATAGCTTTTGAAGAAATTGAGTTTAACAAAGTTTGCTGAAAGACAAGTATAGTACCTTTACAGAGACGTAACAGTGTTCAGAAGAAATACATATTTTTAAACGTTTCCTGGTTTGTGTCAATATGACTTTCATTATTTTGTTCCACTTTTGTTTGTGAGGTGACTAGTGACAGGTACTGCTAATATTTCGAAGTAATTAATATGAATTACTGTCATAGGAAAGCATTTCTGCAGTAAGCTATACTTGTGTAAGCAATAACCAGTGTACTTACACCGGTCAACCTTTTGTGATTTTATTAATTTTTTTTTTTTACAAGAAGGCATATGTGATTGCCTTTGAATTCGGAAGTTCTCTATCAGAGAAGCAGGCATATCAGATGTCACCAGCACAGTGCTTTCTGAGCCTAGCTAGCAACCTGCCATTGTCAGCATATGTTAAAATGGATAATAAAGGATATGAAAAGTTTTGCATAACTGAGCAGTGAACTTCATGTTAACCATGCATTTATCAGTGCAGATCTTTGAAAGTGAAATCTCTAATGCTGCATTTAATTGATAAACTTTGCAGTTGTGGTTTGAGTAGCCCGCATAGCCAATAAATGTTAGGTCTGTCTACTGTTTTGGCTTCAAGTACCAATGTTTAGTCGAGTCCTTTTCTGAAATGCTGTGAAGTCTTCAACACCCTGCAGCAGTAGTACTTGTTAAATTAGGGCTGCAAAGATGGAGCGCCTTTCATACAAGGAGAAACAAAGAGAACTGGGAGTATTCAGTCTGGAGAAGAGGAGGCTCAGGGGGATCTTATGAATGTGTATAAATGCCTGATGGGAGGGAATGAAGGAGAGGGAGGCTGACTCTTCTCAGTAGTGCCCGCTGTCGGAACAAGAGGCAATGGGCAGAGGTTGAAACATAGGATATGCCATCAGATCACAGGAAAACACTTATTTACTGCCAGGGTTTTCAAACCCTGGAATGGATTGCCCAGACAGGTCATGGAGTCTCCATCCATGGAGGTATTCATAGGGCGTGATCCTGGGCAACCTGCTGACCCTGCTTCAGCAGGGCTGTCAGACAGGATAATGTCTGTCCTCAAGATGCTTGTCCAACCTAAACAATTCTGTGATTCTGTGAAGGTGCTTATATATTTATATAAATGTCATATGTACGTGATAATCATGTTCATGATTTTCTACTATGTGTGTGTGTGCGTATGAAATCATCTATTAACCACTGGAGATACTTGCAATTTTTCTATTTGAAATTATGTATTGTTGACCAAATCACCGTGCATACACGTTTACTCTAGACTCGTGTCTGTTCTTCCTCTAACCCTCTCTTGATTTCCTTAAAAATTAATGTAAATATAAAATAAATTTTAGGAAATGTTTCTTGAAATTACTAATGCCAGCTGTGGGGGTGATTCTGGAGATAGCTTATGAAGGATCACCACTTTTTTCTGTCCCACCCCGTTTCTCTCAATTTGCACATATGCATATGGTAGGAAAAGCAGCCTTAGCAACAAGGCCTGGCCTTGGGTTTTTGTTGTTTTGTGTTTTTTTATTTTGGTTGGGTTTAGGGGGGTTTTGTTATTGTTTTTGGTGGGGGTTGTTTGTTTTGGTGGGTTTTGTTTCAGTTTTGTGGGGTTTTGTTTTGGAAAGACTTTTGCAATACCCCCAGACAATCCTGTTCTTCACCAGTGTTTGCTTCACTAGGTAGAACGAATGTTCTAAGAGCTGCTAAAGCAGCTAACCTGTTTTGTCTTTACTGAGGAGAAAAACGTTTTTAAATGTAATACTGGTAGAGTAGAACTCTTCTAATTCAGTAGGCATGGGAGGGAGTGCAGCTGCAAATACTGAATGCAACCCAGTATCTGCAGAATTAGACCAAGGTTGAGAATTAACATTTGCAAATAAGTATTTTTTTTTCTGAGATTTCAGTAAGTAAAGGATTTATCAATAAATAAAGGCTTCAAAAATGCAGTCTTGAGTCAACATTTGCATTTAGAAGACCAAAGTTTCTTCCCATGTGCTTTTAATGGCACCA